TGAAGTAACTGAGATGGCCAAGATTACATGCCTCGCCTGGGGTGACAGAAGGTGATAGAACCAGGAAGCAGTACTCCTAACTCCAGTTCTAATCACCTTTCATTTAAAGAGCATGAATCACTGGATACCTGAGAGAGAAAAAAGGGAAATCAGGAATCAGGCAAAATGTGTCTTTGGTACCCCTCGACTTTTCATTCTGTCCCTCTGATGAGTGAAATGACAAGATGGAGCATTATGTGGGAGATTTCTATGGAACAAGCATTCCATGTACGAGTGGTGCCTATTATACTGCCTGCATCCTATTGGTCAGAACACAGTCACATGGCCTCAAGCAACTACCATAGAAAAATCATTTAGCTATGTGCCCAGGAGGTGAAGGAAATTGATTTGGGTAGATATACAACAGTCTCCTTGAAATATTCTAGTTCCATGGCTTCCATGACATTTTTATTTTCTTCTTCTTCGATTCAGAAACCATGGATTGAAGAAAAACCCAGGTACTCTTGAGAAGAACCATATAATCCACCACTAGTTAATACAATGAAATCTTCTCAAGTTCTAACCCCAAAATATCTGAAGCCACTTGCCAGGGTAACTGTACACCCAGAAAAGGAATGTTTAGACTATTCAAATTTTTGAGGATTGTGAGATACAGGATCTGAGCTGCCACTAATAATAAGATACCCAAAGTGCAATAATTCTCTGGTTAAAATGAATGTCTATGGAGGCCAGGCAATAGATGGAATATTGTACCAAGACCATTTAGAGATGATGCAATAGGATGGCAAACCTCTCCTGTGGTTATTCCTTAGTTACCAAGTACATAATTTAGATCAATACACTTAGCTACTGAAAAATCCTCCCATTTGAATTTATGGAATATGAGCCATTATGGTAGCAAATACGAAGTCGAGCCACTGAAACTTCCTCAGCCTTGGCTGAATAGTAAGTCACAAACAATATTGTATCTCAAAAGAAATTTCAGAGATTAGCAGCACCCTCCAATGTTTAAAGAAAATAAGCGTGGTGCTCTCCATCGTATCTTTTTAGTGTTTTGTCACCTGAGAAGACCAGATGAAATGTGGCAGTCATCGGTAGGCTACCATAAGCTTAAACAGATGGGACCCTCAAGTACAGATGCTATTTCCAGATGTGGCACTTCCATTAGAGCAAAACAAAATGGCCTCAGGCACTATCTCTGCAGCTACTGACCCAGTGAATGTATTCTTCTCCATCTCCATCAATAGAGAGAATAAAAAGATCAAAAGCGAGGCAAGGACAGAATTATAATTCAACCATTTTGCCCACAGACCAAGGCAACTTTCTTATTGTCTATCAAAGTATAATCCACAGGGACCCTGATCATCTTGACATTACACAGAACATATTACCATTCCTCTCTATAGATAGCATCACGCTAATTGCATATACTGTGGATGCCCTGGAAAGATGCTTTATGCTGGAAGATACAAGAAAAACCCTTTGAGGACACAGGAGCCTGCCACCTCAGTGACATTTTGAGGAATGCAGTGGTCTGGGACATGTCATTATATCCCTTTCAAGGTAAAAGATACATTGTTTCAACACAACTCCTACACTAAGCTTTGATTATCTCATTGGATTTTGAAGTTAGTATACATCAGACTTTAAAATATTGACAGTATACATCACATCTGACCCATGTATTAGGTAATGGGAGACTGTCAATTTTTAGTGGATCACAGGCTATATTACAAGTTTCCTTACCACTCAGGCTGTATGACCTAGAGGAGCAAATGTTGCTACAGGGTAGCAGGATATTACAGATATGTAAAATCATTGGCAAACTCAAATAGAGAGGTATAGTATAGATCTCTAATAGTCAGGAGTGTGGCCAAGCCTTCTGCAGCAGAGAACTTCTCATCACTTAAAAAGTAGCTTCTGGTGTGCAAACTGGGCCTTAGTAGAGATAGCATAATTAAATTATGTGCATAATTAAATTATTTGAAGGCATAATTAGATTATTTGAAGGTATAATTGCATTATTTGAGGGCATAATTAAATTATTTAAATGGAGCCTAGACTTCATGTCCTCAACCTCTATTATACTAATGCCTCACTTTCAGCTCATGACAAATTCCTTGCCTATGACAAACTAAGGGAAAAAAATCACACTTGGTTCACAGATGACTTAGGGTAATATGCTAGTGCTTAAAATTGGCCTACTGACATAATACAGACCCCCTCAAGAGTGGCCCTAAAGGAGAGAGAAAAAAAGCAAAGCATCCTAATGGGTAGATTTGTAATCAGTATACTTAATAGCATGATTTGTCTGGAGAAGTGGCTAGAAGGAGGAATAACCATGGTCTTCTGGGTAGTAGCAAATGGCTTGGCCAGTTAAGGACCTGGAAGTAACAATAGTAGAAGACTGTAGATAAGGAATTCTGAGGAATTCTGAGATATATGGTGGCCTTAAGGCAGTGGACACTGTTTCTCTTGTTGATCCTCATCAGTGAGAATTCATCCCAGAGGAGACCCTCAACCTCCAGGGAGAATAAATTACCACATGCATATTAGCCAGCTTCTCTCCTTGGCCATTTCATGTTTGCACAATGGGCCCATAAATCAAATAGTCATGGTGATAGGAATACAGACAATGGAAGGGCTTACTAGTAGGCTTGCCTATTCACTGCCAGTACTAGCCTTTATTGTGGAGCCATTCCTCCAGGAGAATAACCAACCACTTGGTGGAAGACTGACTATATGAGAACCCTTACCTTTGCATTACTTCCCTTCCAGAGAGGGTGATCTCAAATCACTGCCCAATAAACCTCCTACACACTCATCTCTGTTTCAGAGTCAGCTTCTTGGGGAACCCAACATGTGACACTCGGACAAGACACCAGCCTGGGAATAACACCTTGGGGAGTTGTATACAACTTTATGTTTTCTATCTGTTAGGGATACATGAGGATATACAGGGATATACATGATAATATGCACATATATTGATGGTGGTCTGTCTCTAATAGCTAGAGTTTGAGAATCAAGGGGTTAAAAGAACAGCACATCTAATTATCCATCCCTAAGAACCCACTGGGGAATTTTGTTTTGCATTCCCATAATCTTAGTCACTAATGGATTAGAAATCCTAGTTGAGGGGAGAGGGCAGAAAGCACTTCTGTGAAGGTACACAGTTAGGATTCTACTGATCTTGAAGGGTCGACTACCACCTGATCAGTTTGCTCTTCATGTTAGGAGACCAGCAGACACAGAAGGAGTTCCTGAGATGGTAAGGGAATTACATGAAGAGCCAAGGTTGCTCCACCCCATGGGAATAGAGAGAGTATGTCTGGAATCCAGGGGATGCTGTGGAATAGATCCTGATGTTTTCATACCTGATCCCATCAGTATAAAGGGGAAATTGTAACAACCACAGCCAAATGAGGGCAAGGAAACTGATGTGTTAGATCTCTATGGGACAAAGGGCTACATCGTCCCATAGGCCAGCCTACCCCAGCCAGCAGAAGGGCTGACTGAGGCTGAGGGAAATTAGTGATATAAAAGGTAGATTTAAATACCAACTAAGTCTTCAGGAAAGTTGCTGTAATGAGAACAGTACCTGTTTCACTAACTCTCTTGCCTTGGGTCACTCAGAGATTACAGCTAATCAGCGCAATGAAAGGGACTTTGTGACTGATAAAACCCATCATTTCTCTCTCAGGAAAGAATGGAATGAATAGTGTTCTCACCAAAAAAAAAAGTCAATGAAAGAAAAGAAAAATTGCTCCTTTTATCCCTTTAGTAAGACAGGAGCTGGATGTCACAGAGGGCACAATCTGTGTGATACTGGTGGGGACAATGTCAGGCACTGCGGGTGCATCACACCAGTTCTTGAACCTTCGCCCATCTCTTCCCGAGCTCTGCATGATTTCTCATTCAGTTTCCACAGTTGCCTCACCTTCTACCTGTGCCTCCCCTTTTTCTTTCTTTTCTCACCGGTGCTGCCCCATTAAAGCTGCCGCAGAACCCCACCTAATTGGTGCCCACAAACACAAACACAATCAGAAAACTCAGGGAAGTTAACACCCTTGACAAAGGGAAACAAGGGCTAGGAGATCAATTTTTTCCTATCTCTCCTTTCCCATGCAAGGACAGTTCTGAGACGTGATTTATATAACTTCTCAGAGATGGGATCCCGTGGTTTGAGCAATTAATTACACTGATGGCCAGCTGGATAGCATCTTCATGTGGACTCTCTCCCTGCTAGTACTTGCATTACTCGCCTGTCCCTCCTGCTACCTGAGATTACACTTCATAAAAATAAGAGCATAGAAGCCTTCTGCCTAAGTTTCTGTTTTCTTGGGAACTAAAAAAGGCTAAGACAGTTATTATTGCTGTTGTTATTACTACCTCATAGATTTTTTAAGAAGAGTATCATTATCGACTCATTTAAAATGCTTAGAAGCAATGCCTAAGCAGACACTATCATCGCCAACATTACCATCACCATTGTTATTACCTTCCCAGCCACATTTCCTGACCCAGCCTCTGCCCTGCTCAAACTTACATTCTATATAAATTGAACTTGTGTATAAAAATCAGAGGATATGTTCTAAGGTGTTCCTGCATGGAGGGTGCAGGAAGACAGAGAGAATACTAGGAGTGGCAGCTGGGACCATGCTGAGGTGGTCCCCAAAATCTTCAGGCCATTCCAAACCTTGCTAATATCCCCCCCTTCGGGACTCATACATCACTAACTCTGTCCAAACCAAGCAAGGTTACTTTTGATTTTATGGTGTTCTACCATATTTAATTTATTTATACACATGTGTATACACACACCCATGTGCACACACCCCAATACTGCCTTTCTATAAAAACTAAAGGACCTAGTTGAATACCCCTCCTAGGGTCCCAATTCAGGCTGAGTAGATTTGGGTATTTGATGAGAGTTTGCTGCCTGACTGCTGAGCAGGCTGAAGTAGATTCTTCTCATTGTTCCCTCATGGTGCCTTTTCTTAACACTCAGTTGTTCATCTCACCTGTCTAGATGCACAGCAAAGCATGACGTACTTGTCTTTAGTGTTTCTTTCCCACAGTTTCATGGCTGCTGCTTCCCTCACGACGCTTTTCTTAGGCAGAGAAATCTAGCTTTCTGTGGAAAGAGTAAAAAAAAGCCCCCACATCTCCTAAGTCTTCATGGAATATTCTGTTCCACCCTACAGCCTGGCCACCCTAGTGAGCCTGGGCACCCCTCCTTCACCATAGAACTGTGCCTTGCCCGCCTTGGAAGAATTTGTGTGGTTGTGTGGGATCAGGGGAGAGATGCAGTCAAAGTTGAGAAAAATAGCAAATATCCCCCTTGCCTGCCCCCAGATTTTCTGTGGTCCACACCTAGCTCTTAGGCCGAGTATAGGGAATTTACAAGTAAATGATGTGGGATAGATAGGAGGGAAGTTCTTCTAAATTACCTTCACGTTTTCCTGTAATCATTTTTCTTTGTCTATTTCAGCAGTGTTCATGTCACAAACTGTCTGCCTCCAGGACTGGCTCTTGCTCTTGCTATTTTAATTTTCTCTCACCATTTTTGAAATTAAAGGGGCTCTATTTTTATTCCAGACTTGCCTCCCTCCCCCTCCCTCTCACCAGATTGCTTGGAATATTATCTGTCAAGAGGGAACAAAACCTGCTTTCTCTACCCCCAGTATTGCTAAGCTTTTCATCTCTGTCAACCAGAGGGGACAGCAGCTGTTAGTGGGGCTTCCTTTGCATATATCAAACTCTAGGCGAGATGAGACCCACAGGGCTCAGCATGTGCTGCAGAGTTCTTTGCCAACTTTGTTACCTTTGCAGCTCACTCCTTATACTTAGATGGATTTCTCACTTAAGGAGGGTCTTTTCCTTGAGGACCTACAAAAAATAATCACCCTCATGGATTTCTTTGAACATCAGATGTTTTAATCCTTGAGGAAAAATATTTAAAGACCTTCAGCTCTACTGCTCTAAAAAAATGGTAATTTTCATAAATATTGTTTTGATATTTTGAAAATAGATACAACCAAAGTTGTACCCATAAGGATTAAAGGCACAATGAACAAAACACCCCATGCATAACTGAAGAAAGTTCTGACTTTTAGTTCAAACCTAACAAGCCTACATTTTTATACGTAAGGATAATCAGTATATTGTCGGTTGGGAATAAATGGTAGTAAATGGGTCAATTGGAACTCTAAATATACCAGAGCCCATAAACTTTTTTAGAAGAAAAAAAAAAGAATATCACAAAGAAATATGCCTTTACCAAGATACTCTCTACCCAAATCAAACACCTCTTTATCCGCAGCTCTCACTTGCCCTCCAGTCTCCTGCAGCACTGTTCTGGTTAGGTTTATCTGGTTATAAAGAAGAAACTCAGTCAAATCACTTCAAGGAACACTGGGCTCATTGAAAGGATGCACAGGCACAGGAGTCCCAGGACAAGCAAAACCCAGACTTCAGTGCTGGCGATTATGGGTCCAAGATAATTCCAGAGGGAAGAGTGTTACGGATCATCTTTATGGCATATAAAGTGATCTGCCATCAACATCACTGAGCAACTTTCCGCGGATCCGTGTCTTTACACCAAATGGCCCTCTCACTCTGCTCTCCACCTATCTCTCCCCAATGTTAACACTTTTACTGACTTAGACTTTGTTCCCGCATATGCTTCCATCTCCCAAAGGGGAGAAGAAAGGAAAGAACATGAGTCTTTGCTCTCAGCTGGCAATGTTCAGTCTCTCCCTATTTCCTGGTGCAAACTCCAGAGTCTGATCCAGTTGCATTGATTTGTCGCTGTTTTATTATTTGCACTAGGCCATATTATAGGTAGCCGCCTAGCCTATAGACTGGCTGCCTTGGTGTCATATGACCACCTTTGGTCTAATCAGTAGTCACAGCACACAAAGACCATTATACCCTGAACCGACCATGAACCTAGGTGGGAATCAGGGCGTGGCAGCCACAATGAGTGACTTGGGCACATCAAGCCTTTATGTTCCTTCTGACAGGACTTAGCACTTAACTATGCATAATGTTAGGCTGCTTGCTAATTTTCTTATGTGTTCAAATCTCTTATTCTGAGCTATTACATAAGTTACTTGGAGGCAAAGAGCATTTTTTTAGAATCCTGTGTTCTCCATAACACCTGACACAGGAAGGGACTTGCACTGTAAGCACTCAATATATATTAATTTACTGACTGCCTCAAGAACCTGCTTAAAACAACAAACAAACAAAAATAGCTTGTTCTTGAGACGATGTACACCAAACCCAATCTCCATATGCCTTTGTGTTCTCTAATTCTGTATTACAGTTTTACTACTTACTGTATCTACTTAGATACTAACATGTCCCACCAAGACTAGTAGTTGTATGTGGTTATCCATTTCCCAAAAAACCGCACGTTAAGGCACTAGAAGATTCTGAAAAAAACTCACAGGTTAACTTTTTACTGCTTGAGGAAAGAAGATTCAATATAGGTTGAAACAGGAGTCCTTATGTAACCCTGGCTCAGACAAACTACTTTAATATTTTTAGGCATTCTGGTTCTTTGTAGTTCTGCTGACACTTAGCCTTCCCCTGTGTCCCAATTACCTAAGTCTCCTCAAGGTCTAAAGCAGCCCCAGAAGTGATGTGTCCATAAAGAAGCAGAGCTCTTTCCCCTCTTTGTGTTTCAGGAGGCACTAGATGCAGAAAGAGGATGTTGACCTGCTCCACCTCAGAACCACTACACTCGTGAAATTCTACAGTTGGAAAACCCCTGCTGGTTCACTATATTTTAAAACTGAGGCAAGATAGTGTAGCAGTTCAGAGCATGGGTTTGGGAGTTATTCAAGACTGGATTCAAGCCCAGCCCCACTACTTACTCGTGGTTGTGGGCAATTAATGAGACTTCTTTAATCCAGGGAATTTTCTTCTAGAAAATGAGAATTGAAAAAATAGTCATAGAAATTATTAATCAGGTGCCTGGATCATAGGAAGTAGTCAGTAAATGTTAAGTTGATTTTAATTATATAATCTACTTTCCTTAATTTACAATGAGTAACTTAAGACCAGAGAGGTAAAGTGAACTAAGGTTGTACTTCTGCATACAAACAGAGGAAGATCTTGCCACTAACAATTGAATGCAATAATTGAGTGGTCTTTTTTAAAAAAAATAAAAAATAGATAAAAGTTCTTTCTCTGATCCATGTTATAGGCAAATGAATGGATGTTCCAGGCAAGATAAGTAAACTACATGTACTCAATGCTTTCTCCCTCCCAGACAGTGGCCAGATACAAAGTAGCAAATAGAAAATGTGAATAAACCATAGTCCTGCCTTTTAAGTACCTACAAGTGATTTGAAGAAACAAAAGATAATCCTTACTAACTAGTAAAATATTTTATTTTTTTAATATATTTTTTATTTTATTGATTATGCCATTACATTTATTCTATTCCCCCCTTCATTCCCCTCTACCCTGCATACCCCTCCCCCACCATACCTCCCTTTAGTTCATGAACACGTCTCAAGTTCTTTAGATTCTATATTTCCCCTATTATTCTTACCCTCCACCCTATTTTCTATCTACTGTCTATGCTACTTATTTTCTATACCTTCTCCCCCCCTTCTCCTCCTCCCACTCTCCTGTTGCTAATCCTCCATGTGATCTTCATTTCTATGGTTCACTCCTGATCTAGTTGTCCTCTTAATTTGCTTTTATTTTAGGTGTGGTTGTTAATAAGTGTGAGTTTGCTGTCCTTTCACTGTTCATCTTTTTTATCTTCTTTTTCTTAGGCAAGTTCCTTTAATATTTCATATAATAAGGGCTTGGTGATGATGAACTCCTTGAATTTGATCATATCTGAGAAGCACTTTATCTGTCCTTCCATTCTAAATGAAAGCTTTGCTGGATAGAGCAATCTTGGTTGTAGGTCTTTGGTTTTCATGACTTGGAATACTTCTTTCCAGCCCCTTCTTGCCTGGAAGGTCTCTTTTGAGAAATCCGCTGACAGTCTGATGGGACCTCCTTTGTAGGTGACTGTCCCCTTATCTCTTGCTGCTTCCAGAATTCTCTCCTTCATTTTAATATTGGCTAATATACTGATGATGTGCCTTGGTTTGTTCCTTCTTGGGTCCAACTTCTTTGGGACTCTCTGAGCTTCCTGGATTTCCTGGAAATCTATGTCCTTTGCCAGATTGGGGAAATTCTCTTTTATTATTTGTTCAAATAAAGTTTCCACTCGTGACTGTTCCTCTTCCCCTTCTGGTACTCCTATAATTCGGATGTTGGGGTGTTTAAAGATGTCCTGGAGGTTCCTAAGCCTCTCCTCATTTTTTTGAATTCTTGTTTCTTCATATTTTTCTGTTTGGTCATCTTTTCCTTCCTTCTGGTCTGCTCCCTTGATTGGAGTCCCAGTTTCCTTTCCATTACTATTGGTTTCCTGTGCATTTCCATTCATTTCAATTAGTTTAGCCTTCATATGTTCCTCTAATTTGTGACTAAAATCAACCAGTTCTGTGAGCATCCTGATCAGCAGTGTTTTGAACTGTGCATCTGAACATTTGGCTATTTCTTCATTGCTTAGATTTATTGGCTCTGGGGCTCTGAGTTGTTCTTGAGCCATGTTTTGATCTGTTTATGCCTGTTACGAATGAGGAGAGGTGCCTTAGATGTTCACCAGGGTAGTGCTACCCAGGTCGATGGTTTATGATGCTGTATGTGGGGGCGGGGTCAGAGAGGAAGCAATGGCGGTCCTCTCTGGTCCCCTAGTCTGCCTCACCACTCGCCCCCGCCTGTTTATCTGAGCGCAAATGTGCAAGCTCACCACCCTGCGCCAGGGCCCGCTCACTCTGTCTCAATGCTCTTCACTGGTTTATCTGCGCACAAATGTGCGACCGCAGACAGCCAGCCTCACCATGCCTTCCCTGGGTCCACCCGTAGCTACCCTGCACCTAGGATCCGCGCCCTTGGCTGCCTGCACACCGCTCGGGTCAGAGATCTTTTTTTCTGACCCACTCTGCTGCTGGCTTCGCCCCTCTCACCGGTTTAGCTGAGTGGTTTGTTATTTTCAGACTCTGTATTGTTCGATTTTCTATGGTTTGGTTGCATTTATTGTTGTTAAAAACTTTGTTG